TTAATTCAATTAAAAAATTAACATTCCGGTTGAAACCTTTGGCCCACTGTAAGGTGGATATTTGCTCAAAATCTGTGTCGAACACCAAGTATATCATTAACCGTCTGTTCAAGTTTATATCACTTACAATAATAATACATCACTCTCAGTGATTATTAATTTTCATTGTTACATTTTATNATATTTAATGTTTACCTTGTTTTGTTACTGCATACCAATGGATTTTAACAACCAGTATATTAAGAATAAATAACTAAATAAAACAGTTAAACTATAATTCATCTCTATTACAAACTTATTTTCAACCGAATTTAATATTCAGTTTTGCGAAACAATATTTCGAACAGGCGCGTGCAAGGTTAACATCAACGTTTAATCGCATCGTACGAAATTCGACGCCACACATGTTGACGCATAACGACAGAAACGTCGGAGAGTTGCCGTGAGGTTTTATGACACGTGCTCCGCGAGTCATAAATATAGCGATATCGACGGGGTGAGATGCACGTGTGCCCTTCGTCCGAAGGCCTCCTCGCGCGCATCCCCCTTTTTCGCACTCCTATGCAATTGCATCACGTTATCAAACAGTTCACTTTCCCTATCTAATTTTTATCTCATAAAAGTTCGCGCGTACACCACGCTCGTGTCGAATCATTTTATCAGTTTCGCTGTTCTCAAAGGTGTGTTACAATCGCACGGTTATATCATTGATAGATAAGTCGGACGGTCAGATATTGAGTGCCTGGGAATAGATAAACAACACGCTTTCCCATTTTATTCATACGCTATTACTGAATAATGGATTTTTATATGAAATAAAGTCTTAGGTTGCAGAGTATTAATAACTAACTTATATAATTTCTTAATTTTATAATTCAAATGCGAATTTCAAGACTGTGCCAACCCAATTTTATTGTACTAACGATAAAAATAATCGCAGAGATTGTGAGGACGCAACAAATCTGCGTGAATCGTTTAGCGAAACGCGGTAGTAAACGAACCGAAAATTCGGCACGTGTGCCCTTACCGAAGGCCACCCAGTTCCCTCGCCGTTTCTCTCCATCTTTCTCTCCCTTCTGCGTGCGTACGATACAACCCCTCTGCAATTCGGTGCGGAGTTCCCCGGTTGGCCTTCCTTTATACGTATGGGGAGCTGCCGATGACGGATGTCAGTATTGTAGAACCGCCACTTGGCCTGGCTGGGTGCGAACGCATACAAACCCACGCTGGCACCTACGATATATCAGGATCCCGTGAATTATCGGGATATATTCGTCACGAGTCTCTCCTTTTATTATCCTGCTCCACGTGCATCCTCTGGCTCACATTCAACTTAATGGCTTTTAGAGCCTGACTTCAATTTCATTTGATATTACAGAAAATTCGTACGTCTTCACCCTCGTTTTTATTGTAAATATGATACATTTAAAAACTCAGTGTTTGACATTCCATATTTTATGCACAGTCGACTCTTCTATTTATAAGATACGAGATACCATTTCGTTCATTCATCGATGATGTGTTGCACAAGTTGCAATCGTCATAGTCCTTTCCGGTCGGTTAATTATCAGTACGTACTATTGTTTCATGGTCGCACGTGGTGCGACGAAACCCGAGGTCAAAGCAGGGGTAACCGGTCGAGGGGAGACGAGAACCTCACACCGAGGTCTACTGGTTTATTTCGGTGCAGGCACGTGCACCGAGGTTCGCAGTAATCAGGTCATCGCCTGCATCGATCGCGTTGCCAGACGGTACGAGCGTACACGTGTAATTCATAGTCGGATCATGCTACACGCATCATTTATGCATATAGACTTTCAATCATGAACCTTTAGCCACTGCGAAGTGCAGACTAGAATAAGACAGCTGAAACTTTTTGCAAAAGTCATTTAAAACGTGATAAGGAGAATTTGTATATATTACATTAAATTTGTTGCGGATTAAACGTTTAAACCTCTTTTTGCTACACGTCATACGTATATTGAATGAGATACATGTCTCTAAATTTATGCTGTTTTTTTTAGTAGTATCTAATAGAATCATGTAAAACGACACGTTATTGAATATAAATTTATAATTTATTAACAATATTTTACATATACGTCACGTTTAAGGATGTATTGTCAATCCCAAAAATTTATGCACTTTAGAAACGCATTTTTTTAAAAGAAATCAGACGTCGGAAGAAGATTGCTAATAATAAACAACAACAACAAATTTTGGATTTTTCCGAGATTTTTCCAAGGGGTACCCCTTCAGATTTTGCGAAATTTTCGTTTTTGGCCCATAACTTCCGAACGGATGGAGTTATGGGGACATTTTTAGGACCATTTTGTAGAGGACGACGAGATCTACAATTTCCATGTAAAAATTTTTCGCTAGCGTCAACTGTTACTGAGTAATTTGCAAAAAACTGTTTTTTCGTTTTTCGTCAATAACTCGTTAAATATTGATGCTAGTTAAGAATTTTTATACAGAAATTGTAGATCTCGTCGTCCTCTACAAGAAAGGTCCTATACAATTTTCCCGTAGGACCAACGGTTTAGGAGTTATTGAAGTGTAAAATATGTAATTGAAAATTTGCATGATGTACGTCTTCTATTATAAGAACGAATGACTAGAGATAATGGCAAATTATTACATTTCCAGTAGGTAATTGAGTTGACAACGATAACACATCTATTTCGTTTTTCCTATTTTTATCTTCTTTTAAAGGAAACGTAACGTCTAATGTACTTGAACGTCCGCTTCGTTTTATATTAAAATAATCGCTTTTTATACAAGGAATATTACCGCAGGTGGAGATATCTTCTCTGGTCAAGGTGCAAGACTCGTGCCGATATTATTAGACTTTACGGCAAGTGAAAGTCTCGTCCCTTGGCCCTTTGTATTATAAATATTTCCTTAGACACAAAGAAATGATACTTTGAACTTCGTCGTTAAACTGTTACAGCACATCGTACAATCCTGTAACAAGTTCAGCTTCACGTTGACAACAAAAATTTAATTACCATGGCTCGTTGATTAAAGTTATTTTACATTAAATCAACGTTAATGTTATTGAAGTTAATTATCCATTAAATTTGTTGCGGATTAAACGTTTAAACCTCTTTTTGCTACACGTCATACGTATATTGAATGAGATACATGTCTCTAAATTTATGCTGTTTTTTTTAGTAGTATCTAATAGAATCATGTAAAACGACACGTTATTGAATATAAATTTATAATTTATTAACAATATTTTACATATACGTCACGTTTAAGGATGTATTGTCAATCCCAAAAATTTATGCACTTTAGAAACGCATTTTTTTAAAAGAAATCAGACGTCGGAAGAAGATTGCTAATAATAAACAACAACAACAAATTTTGGATTTTTCCGAGATTTTTCCAAGGGGTACCCCTTCAGATTTTGCGAAATTTTCGTTTTTGGCCCATAACTTCCGAACGGATGGAGTTATGGGGACATTTTTAGGACCATTTTGTAGAGGACGACGAGATCTACAATTTCCATGTAAAAATTTTTCGCTAGCGTCAACTGTTACTGAGTAATTTGCAAAAAACTGTTTTTTCGTTTTTCGTCAATAACTCGTTAAATATTGATGCTAGTTAAGAATTTTTATACAGAAATTGTAGATCTCGTCGTCCTCTACAAGAAAGGTCCTATACAATTTTCCCGTAGGACCAACGGTTTAGGAGTTATTGAAGGAAAACGAAATTTTTTGTCAAGAGTTCGCCATTTCGACGCTGGGATGGTCGGATTTTGTCAACATCAATAAAATGCCATATAATCATATGTAACTCATTAAATATCGAAATTAGTAGAAAAGTGCACTAT